CGGCCACTGGTGTCATTAATAACATCAGTTTTCTGAGCGTTACATATAGAACCTTTAAAATTCATGTGTCTGACCTCCTACAAACAGCTGGATTCCTCCAGCTTCTGCGATCTTCTGCTCATAAGCCTGACACTCAGCCTCCAGGTCCTCTGCGTTTCCATCCAGGATGTGAGCATTGGCCGGATCGATGTCGATGTGCTTGAAAAAGTTGTTCCACATGTAGGAGTGATAGCTCTCTGGATGAGCACGAGGCAGACCTGGAGAAAGAGAGAGGAACCCTCTTTACCCAAGAGCCATGAAGCCAGCCTTGAATGTACACCTTCCTTGGACATGAAATAACCCGGGCCCGAAAATCATTGCACAGTCAAGTCTTGCTCCTAAGTGCCTGCAGTTGACATTCTGTTTCCCTCTCCATGTACAGAAGTACAATGTTGCAGTTGCTTCATTCTGGAAGGTCAGCCTACAACTCACCAACGTATTCATCCATGTTGAAGGTTTTCACATATTTAAATGAGATATCTCCACTTCTGTAGTATTCTATTAACTTCTGGTAACAGCCATATGGAGTACTCCCTAAAAGAAATGAGACAAATTCATATAGATTCAGCTTAATATTGATACAGGGACAAATAGTTTGCCCACTAGCCCTACCAGGGCAGTGTGTGTGTGTGTGTGTATAAGCGGCGCTCACCTGTGGGTAAACCCAGAGTGAAGTATCTCTCAGCACAGGGCTGGAACTGGATGATTCTGTTGCGGATATATTTGGCTGCCCACTCACTGGCCAGGTCATACTCATCCAGAATGACCAGCCTCATTGTATTGGCGAACTAAATAAATAGGAAGAATGTAATCAAAAGAACAGCTTTAAAACCAAATCACCAGGTGTTTACTGGCGCCATGATAATGTGAAGGAGAAGCTGTGTGAGGAAAACACCAAACTCCATTCAAACCAAGTCAACTGAATGTGTGCTTTGCTAGCCGATTATTAAAGTGGTTACAGTACAATGAGTCACTTATTTAAAATACCACCCCAAATGTAGCTTTGCCTCAAAAAGCGCTGGCTCGTATCTACTAACTACTGCGGTAGAAACAGATGGTAAGAGTTAACATTACCCATAAGAGGGTCCCTGCTAAATTGTAAGATTGTTCAATGGAGTTTGGCGAGACGGCGGCTATGATAGCAAGCGAAGCAGGAGTGTACATTTACTGCCGTAAACCAGTTAATGTCACTCTGCTAATCTGAAACTACCATTAACTACAACAACGTGAACTACACAATAGAAGTTTGAAGTGTTTTACCTGCTACAACACGCTGTTTGTCAGACGAGAAGGTGTCGCAAGACGTCTGTTCTGTCATATGACCTGCCAACTAGCGGTCAAGTGATTTCACCAGTACGGAAGTCCGTTTGGGCCAAAATAATACAAATAATAATATGACTATGAAATATGTAAGATGTAAAGAAAGTTATTTCAGCATTCATATAGTAAACATTGTAGAACAAACGTAAGCACATACAATAAAAAAGCAAGTAGCTTACTACAAAATTCCAGAAACATATTTTCAAATAGAAAATAGAAAAACTTATAATAAAACATATGAAAGAATATTATAAAATGCACAATATGTCTGTTCTTAAAATGGTAGAGATGTGCAGTTTGTGCAGGAATGTGCAAAATATTCTCCTAGAAATGTGCACAAGTTAAAAGTATGAAGAATATGTGCAGTGTAGATAATTATATACAGGATGTGGAGACTGTATGTTCATGTATTGTGTTAGGGCCTTGTTTTTTGGCATTTCACTTTGTTGACAGGATAGCAGACAGACAGGTAAGGCAGGGGGGAGAAGGGGAAGGATGTGCAGCAAAGGGCCTCAGGCCAGACTTCAACCTGGGCCACTGTGACATTAGCACTGGTGGCAAAAGTACACACATTCTTTACTCAAGTAGCAGTGCAGATATTTGTATAAAAAGGACTCAGGTAGAAGTAGTGATTTAACTTTTTTACTCAAGTAAAAGAAAAAAAGGACAGTCTCAAATGTACTCTAAGTAAAAATGACTCTTGATTTCTCTGAAGGACATTTCTACTGTGTGTTTCTGTGCAAAGCTAACTGAAAGTTCAAATGGGGTTTAGACTGTTTTGTCTTAGGTCGTCAACATATGTTATGTTGTTTTTGGCATGTTACATGTGTCATGAGTGATATGGAAAGACTTGATGTTTGGAAGGCGTGCAATGATCTGTCACTGTAAAGGGTTGAGAATTGTCTGTATTTACTGCCATCATCAAATCATGACAAAATGTCTCACTTTCCATTATTTTATTATTAAGGGTTAACAAATTGAAATGTTTTTTGTATGGAAGCCCATTTGCACCAATGTGACGAAGTCATTATAAGGATAAACGTCAAAATATTAACTTAGTATATCAAAATTACTTTGTCTCTCCAACTTAGTGTCTCAAAATAATGAGTTTGTGATACTAGGTCAAAAAATGCATAAAGTTTCACATTATTTTAAGATACTATGTTAATATCTTGAGACTTTCCTATTATAATGACTTATAATCCTTTTTTCTTGTCACATTGGCAGAAATGGGCTTCCATAGTATGGTGTTTTGTTGGGACAGATATGTGAAGTTGGGTTGTATCAATTAAGCCACTCTGGTTCTTTCTGGCAGCTGCCTGACTCTGACATCTAACATCTGTGTCACATCTCGACAGGGAGTGGCAACAATAACATGGAGAAACACATCCAAACATTACAGAGACAACCCCAAAAGTTAAACTGCAATACCAAATTAGATGTATATACTTCACTGTTTCTGACACTAAGGAAATTATGTATATGTGATGGTGACACACAAAAAACACATCATTGGCTGGCGGCTGTGGCTCAGAGGCAG